CTTTGTGGGGGCCTATGAAGAGGGAAGTTCGAGGGGGGGGTTATTGCAATACCGTTGATGGGTCTTGGATTTACGCAGGTCCCTCTCACCGTCGTCCTCGTCCTCGTCCTCCTCCTCCCCTCCCTCCTGCTTTCTCCGCCTCTCGTTCTCGCCTTCGTCCTCCTTGTTCTCCCTCGTCCCCGTCCTTCTCCCTCTCATCCTCGTCTCCCATGCCCCCCACCTCCATCCGTGTTCCTTTTCGAGAAAACGTTTTCTGCCGCACGCTGGAGGACTTGTGGTTCCAACATGTTCGATATCGCACCGCGCACATGTTTTGCAACAGTTTTTCAACACATGGCTCTTGCCTTCGCTCCGCACACGTTCCTCGTAACACGTTGCAGCAGCTTCAAGGATGCAGGGCCGATCGGTGTCAGAGATCGCCCCGCGCCTCAGCGCCGCACACGGCTCTCCCGCATAGTTGCGTCACCTTCAAAGGTGTAGGCCGGCTCGTGTCTTCAAAGTTCCGGAGTTTCGAATTCAAAACATGTCAGGATTTGGAAGCTGCACGGATCGAATGTTTTCTCTCCAACGCGAGTAGGGTGTTGCTTCGGGTGCCCTCAGCTCCAGGCGACCCCAGCTTTTGGTGCTGAAGCTCCTGACACCATCTGGGCCTCGTGAGGGGTGCTCTGGGGGCCCTTGGGGCCCTCCTGGGGGATCCTGGAGGCACCTCGGGCCAGGGGCACTCTATCAGGCGATCGCAGAGATGGGTCAAGGGGGTCCCGTTTCCAAGGGAAATCGCGGATTTCCGTCGCCAACCGAGGCGGCACCAACCGCATTTTGAGGAGGGCACTTCCCCCGATCCATGGATTTGGCGACCGCACGCCAAATCCATGGATCGCTAATCAATGTTTGCGCGCTTTTCCCCTCCTCCTCCTCCTCCTCCTCCTCCTCCTCCTCCTCCTCCTTCTCCCTCTCCCTCTCCCTCTCCTTCTCCTTCTCCTTCTCCTTCTCCTTCTCCTTCTCCTTCTCCTCCCTCCTCCTCCTCTCCTTCTCCTTCTCCCTCTCCTCCTCCCTCTCCTTCTCCTCTCCTCCTCCTTCTCCTCTCCTCTCCTTCCTCCTCCTCCTTCCTCCTCCTCCTCCTCATCCTCCTCCTCCTCCCCCTCGTCCTCCTCCTCCCCTCTCCTCCCCCTCCCCCTCCTCCTCCTCCCCATCCTCCCCCTCCTCCTCCTATTTCTCCTCCTCCTCGCCCTCCGCGGGGCGCATCCTGGCTAGCTGTTGTGCCCCCCACGACGACGACGACGACGACGACGACGACGACGACGACGACGACGACGACGACGACGACGACGACGACGACGACGACGACGACGACTTCTTCACCCGCCCCCCCTCCCCGGTGGCAGGACTCGTGGGCCGCCCGCCAGCTGCGGCGGCGGCTGGAGCGGCAGGCCGCGGAGGGCGGCGAGCGCGGCGACGGCGAGCCCAGCGTCGAGGCTTCGGGGCGTGGGGCGACGACGGCGGCGGCGTTGGCGTTGGCGGCGAGCGCGATCGCTGCAGGGGGGAAAAACCACGCCGACCCCGACCATTCGCGTTTCCTAAGCAGCCCTGGGCGTCTACTGAACAGCCCCGCCCTCTTCGATTCCTCCCATGGGTGCGTTTACGAAACGGCCTCGCTCGTCGGGGTGCTTCTTCTGGGGTGGATGTCATGCTCTCTATGCAGGGGGGAAGGGTGGCCCCGAGATCCGACGCTCCTGAAGAATTGGAGCGGCCGGCCGTTGGCTGGCTGCGGCCTCCGGGGGCCCCCGCCGGGCCTCGGGACCGTCAACAAGACGGCTCGAGCGGCCCGGTGTCCGGGGCGGGTAAGCGTCCGGGTGGTGTCCACATCGTGTTCGTCGCCGGTGTTCTCCTGTTTTTTCCGCTTCCCTCCTCTCTCCGGAACCTCTCGGAGAGGGGGGGGGAGGGGGAGGAAGAGGGAGGGAGGGGGAGGGAGGGGGAGGGAGAGGGAGCGGGGGAGGGAGAAAGAGATGGAGGGAGAGGGAGGGAGAAGGAGGGAGCGAGAGGGAGGAGGACGAAGAGGTGGTGGAGGAGAAGGAGGAGAACAAAGGAGGAGGAGGAGCAGGAGGAGGAACAGGAGGAGGAGCAGGAGGAGGAGGAGGATAAGGATAAGGGGGATGAGGATGCTGATTTGAACGAGGACGATGAGGATTAGAAGGATGAGGATTAAGGTGCTGGTGATGGTGATGATGGTGATGAATATGCTGATGGAGGTGGTGGTGGTGGTGGTGACTTGACTTGCGCTGGCTATGGGCGGTGCCTGGAGCTCTTCAGTGGCTGCTGCAGCACGTGGCGTGGTGCCTCTGCTCAGAGGGGAGAAGTTCCAGCACCAAGAGAAAGGGATCCCCTGTCTTCCCGGATGCCGACGCAGCAAAGCGTCTCCATCGGAAACGTGTCCTAGTTGTGTCGGCGGCCCTTCGCTGGGCGCTGGGGTCCGGAAGGGTCCCGCAGGCCCATCCCACGCCTGCGTACTCCGGGGGCGCGCGAAGGCTGGGCGGGGGAGCGCGCACCCGGGCGTCGCCGCGGAGGTTAGGCGGCCTCCTGCGCGGTGCGGTGGCGCAAATTCGCGGCGGATATTTTTTTTTTCCGCGCTGCACTCGGGCAGCTCTCCCTGCGAGCATCGCGGCGCGACACGCTGTGGAGGAGAGAAGTAAGTAGTGCGCAGCCCTAGGGCGGGTGTGGTAGTCTGCAGGCGTGACACACTGGGCCAATTCAGAAGCTACGCGCAGTAATGTTCCTGCCGTGCTTGCGTCCTTGATGCGCGGCTACCCCTTTTCTGACCCCCCTTACATTGATTGCCACAAGCGGGACAGGTGAGGAGAGGCTTGTCAGATGATTTTGATGATGCTGATGATGATGATGATGATGATGATGATGATGATGATGATGATGATGATGATGATGATGGTAATAGTGATGGTGATGGTGATGGTGATGGTGATGGTGATGGTGATGATTATGATGATGGTGATGATGCTGATGATGATGATGATGTGGAAAATAATGAAAAAGGGGATGAAGAAGATGCCGAAGCTGATGCTGATGCCGATGCCGATGATGATGATGATGATGATGATGGTGATGATTATGATGATGATGCTGATGATGATGATGATGATGCTGATGCTGATGCTGATGCTGATGCTGATGATGATGATGATGATGATGATGATGATGATGATGATGATGATGATGATGATGATGGTGCTGATGATGATGATGATGGAAAGAGCGTGTTCTACCGCGCTGGCGGAAAACTGGGGGGTCAACTACCCGGTTCCCCGAACCTCCTCCCCCCCCCTCCGGAAAACCGGGGGGGGTCACTAACAATTCGAACCCCTCCCCCCCCCCCCCTCCGGAAAACCGGGGGGGGTCACTACCGGTTAGAACCCCCCCCCCCCCTCGAAAACCGAGGGGGGGTGCGGACAGTGGTGGGGACGGTGGTGGTGGGGACAGTGGTGAGGGGACAGCGGGACAGTGGTGGGGACAGTGGGACAGTGGTGGGGACGGTAGTGGTGGGGACAATGGTGAGGACAATGGTGGGAACAGTGGGGACAGTGGGACAGTGGTGGGGACGGTGGTGGTGGGGACAGTGGTGTGGGGACAGTGGGAATGTGGTGGAAACAGTAGGACAGTGGAGGGTACAGTGGTGGTGGGGACAGTGGTGAAGGCGGTGGCGAGGACGGCGGTGGGACAATGGGACAGAGGTACAGTGGGGACAGTGGTGGGACAGTGGGGACAGTGGTGGGAACAGTGGGACAGCTCAGTGGTTCGAACCCGTAGTGACCCCCCCTCTGGTTTTCGAGGGGGGGGGGGGCTCGAACCGGTCGTGACCCCCCCCGGCTTTCGAGTTCGAGGGGGGGGGGGGTTAGGGGAGGGGGGGGGTTTTGCCGGGGGAGGGGGGGGGGGGGTCCAGCAGGGGGGGAGGGATTTTCGGAGGGGGGGGGATCCGGGTTCCGGGTTCTGGAGGAAAAGGGCGGCAACTTTCCACAGTAAAGCGGCGGTGGATCACGCTCTCTCTGATGATGATGATGATGATGATGATGAGGATGAGGATGAGGATGAGGATGAGGATGAGGATGAGGATGAGGATGAGGATGAGGATGAGGATGAGGATGAGGATGAGGATGAGGATGAGGATGAGGATGAGGAAGGAGGATGAGGATGAGGATGAGGATGAGGATGAGGATGAGGATGAGGATGAGGATGAGGATGAGGATGAGGATGAGGATGAGGATGAGGATGATGATGATGATGATGATGATGATGATAATGACTATGCTGATGAGGATGATGATAGCAACGCTGATAATGCTGCTGATGCTTATGATGATAGTGCTGATGATAATGCATATGTTGATGCTGAGACTGATGCTGATGATGATGAGGGTGGTGATGGTGATGATGGTGATGATGATGATGCTGATAATGCTGGTGCTGACGATGTCAGATGATTTTGATGATGATGATGATTGTAATAGTGATGGTGATGGTGATGGTGATGGTGATGGTGATGATTATGATGCTGATGCTGATGCTGGTGATGCTGATGATGATGTGGAAGAGGATGAAAAAGAGGATGAAGACGATGCCGAAGCTGATGCTGATGCCGATGCCGATGATGATGATGAGGAGGAGGATGATGATGAGGATGATGATGATAATGACTATGATGATGAGGATGATAACAATGCTGATAATGCTGCCGATGATTATGTTGATAGTGCTGATGATAATGCATATGTTGCTGCTGAGACTGATGCTGATAATGATGAGGGTGGTGATGATGGTGATGATGATGATGATGCTGATGATGCTGATGCTGACGATGCTGATGATGGTGATGATGATGGTCGTGGTGGTGGTGGTGGTGATGGTGGTGGTGGTGGTGATGATTGATGTGGTGGCAGTGGTGATGATGATGATGTTGACGGTGATGATGAGGAGGAGGAGGAGAAGATGTCAGGATGATGATGATAATGATGATGATGATGATGATGATGATGATGATGATGATGATGACGGCAGTTGCGAGAATGGAGAGGATATAGTCGATGATAGCAGACGGAGGAGGGTGAGAGGGATTAGGTCGACGATTGGGGAGGAGTGGGAGATTTCTGCGGGAGGAGGGGTGAGGGGGAAGGGAGGCGTATGATAATGACGACAGCTAGGTCAGAAAGGCTAGGTCTGATGGGGATAATGTCGTGGATAAGGAGGTATTAGGAAGGGGATAAGGGGAAGTGGAGGAGATCACACGCCGCATGAAGAGCATCCTGAACAAGCTTACCTTGGATAAGTTTGACGACCTCTTTCGGCAGCTGACCGAGTGTGGTGTGTCAACAGAGGAGCACATCAGGATCTTGATGACAGAGGTGTTTGAAAAGGACGGGCTCGGGAGACAGCATGCACGGCTGCACTGTACGATTTAGCGTTCCAGAAGCATATGCCTTGGCTCCCTCCCTCCTTGCCATCTCCCCTGCTTCCATCGTCCGTTGTGCAAGCGCCTCCCGCCACTGGTCTGTGTGATTCCCGTGGTTCTGAGTCGCGTGTGCCCTCCTGTCCTCAGCAACGCTGGCGTCCCGCCTCCTGGAGGGAGGAACGGGCGGAGCGGGGAGGAGGAGAAGGAGGGATGAGGGATGGACGGAGGAGAGAGGAGAGGAGGATTGGAGAGGAGGATCGAGGAGGAAGAAGAGGAGGAGGAGGATCGAGGAGGAGGATCGATTTGGAAGAGAAGGAGGAGGAGGAGGACAGGAAGAATGGAGGAGCGACGAGGGAGCCAGGAACGACGGAGCGGGGAGGAGGGAGGCCCGGAGGATCGGCAGAGGAGGAGAGGCGAATGAGGAGGGAGGGAGGAGATGATAGTGATGGAGGGGGGATGGAGGGAGGACTGAGGAGGGAGACCGGATCAGGCGATCGGAAACATGGATCAAGGGGGCGTGGATTAGCGACGGGTCCCGTTTCCATGGGAACTCGCAGATTTCCACCGCCGAACGAGGCGGCACCTGCCGCATTTTGGAGAGGGCACCTCCACCGATCCATGGGTTTGGCGACCGCGCGCCAAATCCATGGATCGTTAATCCATGTTTGCGTGCCCCCGACCGGAGACGGGTTGAGGGAGAGGAACGGAGGTGGAGTGAGCAGGGATCGTCCTCCCAATCCTACCCCTTCTGGGACCCCACCATCACACACCCTGATTTGGCACTGCATTGCAAGACTGGACCTCTACAGTGGTGAGCGTCACACGCGCAGAATTGTCTGCTCGTCCTCCCCCTAGGTTGTGATGAGGGAGGCTAGCGGTGACCTGGCGGTGCCTGGTCAACGGGGGGGGAGGCCACAACCCAGCACCACTTTGTAGAGATGTACGTCCTACTATGCGTGAACCTGGCCGAGTGGTTCTCCTCTCACGTGAAGGTTGGCAACTTCAAACGCGTCCTCCTGGACCAGTGCCAGTCATCCTTCGAGAACAATCTGCACCCGCAGGATGCCGAGAGCCAGTCGAAGGCGCCGCTCAATGAGGAGGAAGTGGCCGAGAGGCAGCACAAGCACAAGCTGAGAGTGCTCGGCAACATCAAGCTTATAGGCCAGTTGTTAGTCAAGAGGATGGTCGCATCCAAGGTGCTCATCGCTTGCGCCGAAGCTCTGCTGGCTGAACCCTCACCCGCCACGCTGGAGCCGCTCGCATGCCTCCTGTCGACCACAGGGGGCGAGTTCGACAAGAGCGATTGGAAGCAGTACGACGCCCTCGTCCGGATCTTCAAGCAGGTGCAGAAGCTGACGAAGGACAAAAAGCTCCCGCAGCGGGCCCGTTTCTTGCTCCAGGACGTCCTGGACCTCCGGAGCACCGGCTGGGAAGACCGGAAGGCGGCGACGCAGAAGCTGGAAGGGCCCAGGAAGCTCGAAGATTTCGCCAAGGACTGAGCGCAGCCCCCTGGATGAGGAGTTCATGGAGGGGGGAGGGGGAGCAAGAAGGGAAGAAGCGATAGGTGGGAAGGAGTAGGAGGAGGAGGTGAAGGAGGGCGATGCCTCCCCCCACCTTCTCATCCCAATGTGTCGACGAGAGGTTATGCCTTTCCAAAGCTCCACCTTTTGAGAAGGCTTTCTCTCTCTCCTGCTGGGTCGCACGGGCGATGATGGCAGCAGTGAGGGTGGTGTGATCTTTCCAGCTCGCTTCTGCGAGCGATGTAGTAGGGGCCCCATCCTGGAACAGGATTGGAACCTGTGTCAGGATTCGCAGTTCAGGCGCTGACAGATCTGAGTCCCTGGCCGGGGGTGTCCCCAGCTGCCAAACCCTCCTGGCGCATCGGGAGCCCCTTCCTGGGCCCCGCCCAGGGCAACCCCCGAAGGCTCGGCGACCCTTCGCCAGGTCGACCTGTGAGAATCGAGCCAGGGTTGCAAAAAAAACCCTTCGAACGAAGGATTGCAAAAAACCTCGGTTTTTTTGCAATCCTTCGAACGAGGGTTTTTTGCAATCCTTCGTTGTTTTTTTTGCAATCCTTCGAGCTGGAGCAGGCCCAGGAGAGCCCTGGCAACCCCAGGCAGGTCCAGGCGAAGGCAGGGATCGTCGGGCAGAGACGCGGAGGCACGTCGCTTGGCCGCTCGCCAGCGCGAGACGAGGGACGGCCGAAGTCCTCAAAAGCCCTGGGCGGAGCCATCCGGAGGCCCCGACGGGGCCTCCCTGGCAGCCCTGCGGACGCTTCTTTCGGGGGTGGACAGAGCTCCTACTCGGGGGCGGAAACGAGGGAGGTGATGACTAGGGGGGGGGGATATCATGGCGCGGGCCATGATATTTCCCCAGATTTCGTGGCGCCTCTTCTTGTTTTATTACGTCCCTGGCCCCCCCGCTGGGCCGCGCACATGCCGCCGGTCATGATTTGCACCCCCCCCTCTTGGACACCTCCCTCTTGGCCGCTCCCGACCTACTCACCACCCACCAAACTATCCCAACCCCATCCGAAGGCTCAAATTTACCCTCGATTTCCGGTGGGGGGGGGTCGGGAAACATCGAAAAAACACGTGTGGAACCCTTGCCCCCCCAACCCGAAATTCGGGTCTTCGGGTTGGGTTGGGGTGGTCTGGTAGGTCGTCACCTACCCTGACACGCAGATTAAGGAATTGGCCGTTTTCGGTTCACGAGAGGGCGTCGCGGCCGTCATTTTTGCGGGTCCAGGTCCGTCGGTTTCGGTCCCAGGGCGCTTTCGCTAAGGGGAGGTCTACTAAAGGGAGGTTTGTCCACCGCCGATTCTCGAGCGGCGCAACAGAAAAAATGCTTGCAGAGTGTCTATTCCGCAAACATCCAGAATTATCCTGGCGAAGGACCCCCACTGCAATTGTGCGTACCGCAAAGCAGGTGGGACAAGGGAGGGGAAGGCCACTATGGGGCCACGAAAAGGGAGAGTGTGCAGAAATGGGCGAGGAGCCGCATGTGGACCCTGTCACTGGGGCCTTAGGTGGAGCTCCCAATGTGGCCGCCAAACGTGTGAGGGGTGTGCCGAAGTGGGGCGGCGCCGCCATGCGAGCTTTGCTGGGGGTGCGCCGAAATGGGGCGGTGCCGCCATGCGAACTTTGCCATTGGGGCCTGCGGTGGAGCTCCCTATGGGGCCACGAACCGTCTGAGGGGTGTGCCGACATGGGACATGGCCGCCATGTTTATCACTCGGTGGAAATCCCTATGGGGCCACGAAACGTTTGTGGGGTGCGCCGAAATGGGGCAGGGCCGCCATGCGAACTTTGCCACAGGGGCTTTTTGGTGGAGCTCCCTATAGGGCCGCGAAACGTTTGAGGGGTGCGCCGAAATGGAGCAAGGCCGCCATGCGATCTTTGCCACTGGGGTCTTTGGTGGAGCTCCATATGGGGCCACGAAACGTTCGAAGGGTGCGCCGAAATGGGGCGGTGCCGCCATGCGATCTTTGCCATTGGAGCTTTCGGTGGAGCTCCAATATGGGGCCACGGAACGTGTGAGGGGTGCGCCGAAGTGTGGCGGGGTCGCCATACGAATTTTCCCATTGGAGCCTTCGGTGGAGCTCCAATATGGGGCCACGGAACGTGTGAGGGGTGCGCCGAAACAGATACACGCGGAGGGCAGAAGCAAGGGAGAGAGGAGGGAGGGGGAGAGGATGGGATGTGGGACGCGGGTCGCGGTCCCTTCAAAACGAGAGCCCAGCACCACAGGATGGTTGTGACAAAAAACAGTTGCTTGCTTTGATGTAATGGACCGTGAATCTCCCGCGGTGGATCCAGGCCATCTGCGAGCAGTTAAACGAGATAGGTAAGTTATGCCGTGCAATCTAGGTGGCGTAAGTCATGGTGTGTAATTTATGTGGAGTACGTGTGTGGCGCAAGGCAATGCAGAGCAGTACAGCTCGATGCAAGTAAACGCAGAACAATGAGATTGCAATGCAATGCGAAACAAAGCAAACCAGAGCAAAGCAAAACATGCAAATCAGTGCAATGCGCTGCGATTGCACTGCACCTCAGTGCGATTGCAAGAACGTGCGGCTGCAAAGCTATGCGATGCAAGGCGACTACCATGCAGCGCAGTGCGATTGCAATGCAGTGCGATGGCATTGGAATGGGAGAGGTGCCGGGGGGCGGCGGCGACGGGCGGGGACGAGGCGGGGGCGGCAGACTGGCATTTATGGTCTTGGCATCGCTCGGACGTGTGCGTTTTTTCCTCGGCGAGGACCATCGAGGAGCATCCTTGAGCATCTGGCGAAAAAAACACGCACGAAACCGAAAAACACACACGGAATGGACGTCCGAGCGATGGCGAGTGGTGAGAAGTAGTGCAGCGACGCACAGGAACCGGGCCGCCGCGGCGTCAAATGGGCCCAGGTCCTTGGAAGGCAAGTCAGACTGCCTAAGTGCAATCTCTGGTTGGCCCTCGAACGCGTCGACGGCGGGCCTGGCGTTTCGACCGAGACTTTCTCACCATTTGCGACCCCGAAGCTTGAAATTTGCAACGGTTTCACGGATGGACGGCGAGGGGTTTTCGAAAGGGGGCTCTCATTTGAGCGCCGCGCTCATTCATTTTAAGAGTCTGCAGCAGCTTCACGGATGGAGGCGGGCGGATTTCAAAAGGTGGTTCTCGCCACAGCGCCGCGCACATGTGTTTTAAATTCAGGAGGGGAAGAAACACACAGACACAATTAATCGTCGACTCCCAGGAAAATGCAAAAATATGGGAAGTGGGGGGGGAAGACAAAAACCAAAAAGATATGGTAACATATGGGGAATATTTCTATTTATGTGTATTTATTTGTGTCTCCTGGGGCCCCTTCAGTTTTGAATGTTCGCAGCAGCTTCACGAATGGCGGGCGGGTCGTTTTCCAAGCGTGCCTCTCGCTCCAGTGCCGCGCGCATGCATGCCAAGAGTCTGCACAAGAGTTTCACGGATGGAGGGCGGGCGCGCATGTTTGTTAGGAGGTGCAGCAGTTTCGCGGATGTCTTGGCATCGCTCGGACGTGTGCATTTTTCTTTCGGCGAGGACCATCGAGGAGCATCCTTGATCATTTGGCGAAAAAACACGCACAACACCGAAAAATACAGGGAATGGACGTCCGAGCGATGGCCAGATGTAGGGCAGGTTGTTTCCAACATGTGGTTCTCGTTTTAGCGCCGCGCACGTTCGTCGCAAACGTTTCCAACAGCTTCAAGGGGTCGCATGGCCGAAGTCCCAGGGTTGGTTTTCTGCCACGGCTTCGGACTGCCATGGCACAGATGCCACGCTGATTCGTAACAGTCACTTTGGTTCGCGCTGTTGAAGTCCCAGATTAAGGATCGTCAGGACGCAACAGACACCTTGATCCGCGGCGCTGAAGTCCCAGGAGATGTCGTGTGACACGTTCGAGGCTTATCAGACGGTGGCCATTCAATCGGCCATTTCCGCAATGGAGATAAATTATTATTGCGGCCTTTGAAGAGGGAGCTTTGAGGGAGGGTGTATTGGAACATTGTTGATGCATCTTGGTTTTACTCTAGTTCTCCTCCTCCGTCCTCCTCCTCCTCCTCCTCCTCCTCCTCCTCCTCCTCCTCCTCGTCCCTCCTCCCCGTCCTCCTCGTTTTTCCTACCCCTCGTGCTTTATGACTTCCCCCACGGGAGTCGGGTGCACATATGTGGGGGATGGGCTCGTAGTAGTCACCAGCTCAAGCATCACTCTGTTTTGGGAATCTGGTTATGTGGTAGATGTGGTAGCTTTGCTGCCCAGCAACTCGCCGCGTTGGGAGGTGAGTGCATGGTGTCTGCCACAGGCAACAGAGTGCAATACCTTAAGAGGATCTCTGACGGCAAATGGCCGAAAGCTTACAGCTCATCCGACAAGGCCAGGCGAGCCAATGCACAGTCGAGATTATTCTGAGAGACGAGGGCACAACCACGTCTCTCGTTCAGTCAGTCCTCAACCGACACAGTCGCAATATCCATAAATCCGTAACTCCTCCTCTTCCTCCTCCTCCTCCTCCTCCTCCTCCTCCTCCTCCTCCTCCTCCTCCTCCTCCTCCTCCTCCTCCTCCCCCTCCTCCTGCTCTTCTCTCCGCCGATCAACGCCTTTCTTGGCCAGGGCCACCTCTGTCAGCGCCCGAACAGTAGCGGCCCGCGCCGTGATGGGAGCCCGCCCTCTTCCCAGACCAGTCTGGGGCAGCGACAGGGGTGGGGGGCGGGGGGAGTAGGCTCAGGGGGGACGCATCGAGTCCAAGTGGCCCGGCGATCGCCGAAAGGGGCCCGACAGCCCCGCCTCGCCGGAGAACGATCGGACTCGCCATGGGGGGGCCGCCCATCGCCGATGCCAGCTCGACGCCCTCCCCCGCCCCTGAGCCCGTCCCCCCCCCACCCACCGCCGCTGCCCCTCCAGCAGCCGCCGCCGCGGAGGGGAGCCGCGGACAGCCGCGCGTGCTCGTGGCGGCGCGCGGGACGGGGCGGGGCGGCCCCGGCGGGGGAAGAGTGGGGGCGCGCCGCGGCTGAGCGGGGGCACGGCGGCAGCCACGCACGGGGGGTGCCAGGGCCCGCCCGTGCTCGCCGGGAGCAGGCGTCGGAGGAGGGCCCCGGACGACCCGTCCTCCTCCTCCTCCTCCTCCTCCTCCTCCTCCTCCTCCTCCTCTCCTCCTCCTCTCCTCCTCCTCCTCACCCTTTCCTCCTCCTCCTCCTCCTCCTCCTCCTTCTCTCCTCCTCCTCCTCCTTCCTCCTCCTCCTCTCCTCCTCCTCCTCACCTTCCTCTCCTCACCCTTCCTCCTCCTCCTCTCCTCCTCCTCCTCCTCCTCCTCCTCCTCCTCCTCCTCAGCCTTGGGGCCGTCTGGGGGCCTGAGGTGGCCCAGCGCTGGTTGCGGTCATCGACAAGGGCAGGCAGGTTCGAGGTTCTGGGTTCGGGCATGCGTTTTACCCGTGCTGGCCCCTGGGGGCCGTTTTCGGGCCCCTGGGACCCTGCAAAGCAGGTCCGGGGTAAAGCATGGCACCAGATGGACCCCGGGAGGGATCCGGGCACCGATTGGGATCGGATTTGGTATCGTACCCCCTTCCTGACCGACTGTCTGGGGTCCCAGCCAGTTCAGACCCCCGCGCCGCCTCCAACCCCAGCCCCAGATTGTCGCGCCCTCTCGCAGGCCCTGGGGCCCTCTGGGCCTCTCCGAGGGGGGTGCCCAGGAGGCTCCCTGGGCCTCCACGGACCTCATGGTGAGCACCCCTGGGCCGGGAGCCCTTTTCCAGCAGCACCAGAAAGGACGATTTTTGTTTATGTCAGCACAGTTCGGGTCTCTTCCCTTCCTCTGCCTCGGCCGCCCTCCTCTGTTCCACCTGAGCGGCGCAAAAAAAAAACAGTGTCGTCTGCGCCGACACTGGCGCGCAAGTTGCCCGCGAAAGCTGCCCGCGTAAGCTCGCGCGTAAGCGCCCTCGTCTCCAACATAGCGTGCCGCGCGGGTGGCCCGCGTAAGCCGCCGCGTGAGGTCGCTGTATCACCCTCGCGTAAGACCCGTTCTTTTCCGGCGCTCACCTGCCTTCGCGTGCCCTGTGCCCGGGGCAGCCCGCCAGCTCAGCATCGGGAGCGGAAAAGAGGGGGGTGATGACTAGGGGGGAGTGAAACGGGGCGGTGGGGGCGTCCCCCAGTACACATCACTAAACCAGGTCCCACCAAACCCAGTTCTGCCAGCGCCCGATCTATAAGGAGATGGCAGACGCGGTCCGCCATGAGCCTGCGCAACATTGTTATGCGCGGTCTCGCCACCACAATCGGCGAGCCAACATGATGACACGCTGCAGAAGTGGTGCCACCCAAGCGCTCCGCTGTGGCACCGGACACGACTCGGAGGTTAGCCTGAGCCACCAGGTTTCGACCATCCCTCCAGCCGAAATTGAGCCTCTCGCCAGGGGGGATGATAGGCTCAGGAGGGAAAGTTCTCGGGCGTTTCCATGGCTCCTGGAGGGATTCCAGCCTCGGGATCCATTTTAACAATTGCGCCTCGCAGAGAGCGCTTTGGGGATGCCCGTATCGTCCCGAACAGCCGCTTGAGACACGAATGATGGTCCGAAAACCACAGGGGAATACCAGGGGGGATTGGCTGAGGGGGGACTGCGTCGACATTCAATGCTGCCCGTTCATCGCCTATACGGGCCTGATGGCCCACCCACACAGGCGCGTGCGAATTTGCGAGAAGGTGCCTGCATCGCCCATCTGTCGGCGACGCATCGCCGATTCCAGGTCGACAGCTCCCCCCCTGAACCAATTCCCCCCGTATCGTTACCGCTCAAGAGCAGCTGTGGGGCGGTAGCCGTTTCGCCTCAGAGATGTTCAGCTGCCGGCGCCGCTCGCCATGCAGCACGCCCACTACGTCTCCGTGATCGGCGCGTACAGCCGCTGGAAGTTGTGGCAGCGGGCGGTCTCCGTGCTGGCCGAGATGGAGCAGGCGGACGTGAGGCCCGACCTGCGCACGTTCACCGCCCTGATGGGCGCGTGCGCGCGCGGCCGCCGCTGGGCGGGCTCGCTGCAGCTGCTGGGCGCCGTGGAGGGGCGGGGCCTGCGCGCGGACGCCGTCACCTGGCAGGTGCTGGCGAAGGCGGCGGCGGCCGGGCGCAGCTGGGCCCACGCGGTTGGGCTGATGGCGCGCATGCGGCAGCAGGACCTCGAGCCCGGCGTGGCCGTCGTCAAGGGCGCCGTTGTGGCCTGCATCGGCCAGGGGCAGTGGCCGCGCGCCTGCCGGCTGCTGGAGGAGCTGCCCGGGTGCGGTGGCGCTGGGGTGCTCGGCGAGGCAGCCTGCGCGTTGGGACGCGGTAGCTACGTCGACCAGGCCAGGGTCCTGCTGCTGGACGTGAGGGCGAGGGGGCTGCAGCTAGTGTGGAGCCCCAGAAGGGTGACCCGACTCGGCGGCGAAGTCCGGACCGTGCCCTCGCCGATCACCGAGTCAGGCAACTCGGTGGGCGGCGGAGGTCTGCTTCTGAATTCTTCGAACACGTGGCAATCCGAGCCCTACCCCTGCCTCGCATCGATTTAGGAGAGCCGATGGTTGGCGGGGGTAGGGCTCGGATGTCGCCACCTACCGACCTGCACTGATTACCCCCTCCCCCAGCCTTCTCCTGACTTCGGGGGGGTACGACAATGAGGGACGGGCACAGTGGGGGAAGCATCGACCCCCAATCGCCTTTCTCATCGGGTTGTCCTCGGTTCTTGGCGGCTTTTCAGCCAAGGGGTGCTCTCCAGAAGCCGCGCCTCGCCGAGAGCGTTCCCGTGATGGCCAGATCTTCCCGAACGGCCGCTGGACACTTGAATTATGGCCCGAAAGCCATGGCTTGACATCGCTCGGACGTGTGCATTTTTCCTTCGGCGAGGACCATCGAGGAACATCCTTGATCATCTGGCGAAAAAAACACGCACGACACCGGACAAAAACACAGGGAATGGACGTCCGAGCGATGGCCAGATGGGGGCAACGATAGGGAGAAGGTTGAGGAGGAGGAGGAGGAGGAGGAGGAGGAAGAGGAGGAGGAGG